TACACGCAGACACACACACACACACCCACAGACAGACACACACACACACACGCAGACACACAATAATACCACAGCTGTACCTGTCCAAGAGAGAGCGGCACTGCGTCTTGTGTGTGTGTGCGGCCGATCTTAATGATGTCTTTGAACTGTTCAGCTTTGGCAGCGAGAGCGTCATGCAGCGTCTGAAGACCCGGCAGAAGAACCTCATGCACCTCTTTAGCAGCAGCGATGTGCATGGCAGTGGGGAACGTGTCATTAGAGCTCTGAAACACATGCAACAGAACAAGAGAGCTGGATTTATTCAGTTATTACCTATACAGCAGATTGATTTAGTCTAAGAACCAAAGAAAAATATATGCATGTTTGTTGAAAGGTTTAATGCACTTCCACCAAACACATCTTGAGGATGAACTCAAACACCACGACTGATTTATATTAATTACACATGAGAGTGATTACCAAATATGGATTAATTTGAAAATACAGAGCAAGACGTGAACCAAATATGTCAAGATGAGAAATTTAATATTTGGTATTAAGGGTGTTTGTTATTTAATATTTATTAGTATTAAGGGGTGTAATGAAGCAAAATTCATTAGTATTTAATGAAGTATTTAATTCACTGAGCTATACAAATATAGGCATCATCGCTTTTTTGAAATATATTATTACGGTATTTCAATTTCCATCAAAAATAACTACTTTTTAGATTATAAAAATAAACAAATAAATAACAAAATAAACAGGCCTAATATTTTTTATTAAAAATAAATGTTTAAACATTTTAAAAAATAAAACCATAAAAAAAGATTTCAGTTTACATAAAAAACAAATGCTTGTGAGATAAAAATAAAAAAATTAAAAAAATCATTTTAATGTTTAAAAAATAAAACCATAAAAACACAATTAATTAATTAATTAATTAAAAATAACCAAAAAAAATAAATACCAATATAAATAAATAAAAGATATCAAACAAAATACATAAAATATAAACAAATAAATTAATATAAATAAATAAATACAAAAAATAACTACACATAGACATCATGGAATAAGTATATGTATTAATTTTTACATTTTTAAATGTTACGTTTACTCAAAGCATCTTAAGATTTCGATCCATAAGACCAAATTTATTGCTGGTTGATGTGTGTGTGTGTGTGTGTGTGTAAGTGTGTGAGTCTGTCTGTCTGTGTGTGTGTGTGTGTGTGTGTGTGTCTGTGT